TTGGGGGAAAGAGACCAAAAGATCGGGCTCCTGCGGTGGAGAGTGGGCGCGGCGCTCGGAGGAGACATGGAACGCTGCACACGTCCACCTGCAGCGGGCCCTCCGTCGTCATAAGGCGAGCGCCGATCTCCACCGCAGTGAGGGACCGGTGTACACACCTGGTGATCGAGTCTGGCTCTCTACCAGAAACCTGCCCCTCCGCCTGCCCTGTCGGAAACTGGGTCGGCGGTTTGTAGGGCCATTTAAAGTCCTGAGAAGGTTGAACGAGGTGTGTTACAAGTTACAACTACCTGTTGAATATAAAAGTATTAACCCCTCGTTCCATGTGTCTCTTCTCAGGCCGGTGGTAGCTGGCCCACTCCAAGAAAGTGAGATCAGGGAGACTCCTCCGCCCCCATTGGACATCGAGGGGGCACCGGCGTACTCCGTGAGGTCCATCTTGGATTCGAGACGTCGGATGGGGGGTCTCCAATATCTAGTGGAGTGGGAGGGGTACGATCCGGAGGAACGGTGCTGGGTGCCGAGGAGAGACATTTTGGACCCGTCTCTCCTGACGGAATTCCATCGTGGGCACCCGACGCACCCTGCTCCGCGTCCTCCTGGTCGTCCCCGAGGCCGGAGTCGGCGCACGTCTGGAGCCGCGCGTCAAGGGGGGGGTACTGTCACGGTTTCGGCCGAGGCTGCCTCTCTTCCTTGTTCGGGCAGGCTTCGGCGTTCGTTGTCTCCGGAATTCTAGCTGCCATCGTTGCATGTTTCTATGTTCGTTTGCTTTTGTCTGTTTGTTGTGACACCTGTTATCGTTTAGGTTAATTAGCGTCCTATAAGTTACTCGTTGTGTTTTGTCCAGTGTTGTGTGTGATTGCTTTATTGTCTGTCGTGCGTTACTGGACGTGTTTACATTATTCGCTCGGTTGAGCTATCTCTCCACTGTGTTGGAGCGTTTTACGCACCTGTGTAGTGCGCCCGTTTGTTTTGTCCGCCTACGTGCGGAGTTTCGCCTTCGGGCCAGTTTGTTCATTTCCCCTTGTGGAATTTCACTAAAGTCTTTTGGACTGTACTTCGGTCCTGCGCTTGATTCCACCACTACACCCACCTACAGCATCACTGACAAGTGGCTTCTTCCTTGCTGATCGGCCTTTCAGGTCATGCCGATATAGGACTTGTTTTACTGTAGATATAGATACTTTTGTACCTGTTTCCTCCAGCATCTTCACAAGGTCCGTTCTGGGATTGATTTGCACTTTTCGCACCAAGGTACGTTCATCTCTAGGAGACAGAACGTGTCTCCTTCCTGAGCAGTATGATGGCTGCGTGGTCCCATGGTGTTTATACTTGTGTACTATTGTTTGTACAGATGAACGTGGTACCTTCAGGCGTTTGGAAATTGCTCCGAAGGATGAACCAGACTTGTGGAGTTTCTACAATTTATTTTCTGAGGTCTTGCCTGATTTCTTTTGATTGTCAATCAAAGAGGCACTGTGTTTGAAGGTAGGCCTTGAAATACATCCACAGGTACACCTCCAATTGACTCTAATGATGTCAATTAGCCTATCAGAAGCTTCTAAAGCCATGACATCATTTTCTGGAATTTTCCAAGCTGTTTTAAAGGCACAGTCAACTTAGTGTATGTAAACTTCTGACCCACTGGAATTGTGATACAGTGAATTATAAGTGAAATAATCTGTCTGTAAACAATTGTTGGAAAAATTACTTGTGTCATGCATAAAGTAGATGTCCTAACCGACTTGCCAAAACTATAGTTTGTTAACAAGAAATGTGTGGATTGGTTGAAAAACAAGTTTTAATGACTCCAACCTAAGTGTATGTAAACTTCCGACTTCAACTGTATATGACAAATAAACAAACTTGAACTTGAATGCTTTCTAAGAATGAGATGTGATTGGACTAGGTTTAGATGTGTTACATTTCATCTCACAGATGAAAGATAGACAGTCATTACAGTCATATCATTAAAGTGAGTGGTGAGTGAGTAATGCTGGCTCGTATCCATTAGTGCACACCGTTATAAACTGTAGCCAAATGTTTTGCAATGAAAACAATATATATTTTTTATCAGGTTTCTTATAGAGTACAGGTAGACCCACCCAGTTTTGGTCCATTTTCTTCCGTTTGGTTTCTAGTGAATTCTCTAACCTCTAACCCATGTAGGTGGAATGTCAGAACTACATCCGCGTCCTGCTGGTCAATAAGACTGAGGTCATCACCTGTGGAACCAACGCCTTCCAGCCCCTCTGTATCACCCGGGAGGTAAGGGGATAAGTGGGGAGGGATGGAGGGAGGATGGATGGAATGATTAGTGTCAGAGTGGATGTGGTTCGGGGAAGAAGTAGAATGGAGTGAAAACCTACATGGGGCTGAGTAGGGGTGATAGGGAGGGATTGATGAGAGGGTAAAGGAGGATGGTGGGAGGAAGGAAGAGTGGATGGAGGGAAGAGGGGGATAGAGTGATAACTGGCAGGAAGAGGGGTAGGGGTGATAGATAGAGAATGATGAAGGGAGGGGTTAAGATAAGGTCTTGAATGTAAACATCAAACAGACATATGGTCTGTTGGAGACTTTAGAGGTGGAGGAAGACAGTAACAACACTATAATTTTCTTACTTTCTATCTCTCTCTATCTCTCTATATCTCTCTATCTCTATTTATCTTTCTATCTCTCTCTCTATCTCTCTCTCTCTATTTCTCTATCTATCTATCTATCTATCTATCTCTCTCTCTCTCTCTCTCACTCAATTCAATTCAATTTAATTTCAATTTCAATTTAAGGGCTTTATTGGCATGGGAAACGTGTGTTAACATTACCAAAGCAAGTGAAGTAGATAGTAAACAAAAGTGAAATAAACAATAAATATTAACAGTAAACATTACACTCAGAAGTTCCAAAAGAATAAAGACATTTCAAATGTCATATTATGTATATTACAGTGTTGTAACAATGTGCAAATAGTTAAAGTACAAATGGGAAAATAAATAAACATAAATATGGGTTGTATTTACAATGGTGTTTGTTCTTCACTGGTTGCCCTTTTCTTGTGGCAACAGGTCACAAATCTTGCAGCTGTGATGGCACACTGTGGTTTTTCACCCAGTAGATAAGGGAGTTTATCAAAATTGGGTTTGTTTTCGAATTCTTTGTGGATCGCTGTAATCTGAGGGAAATATGTGTCTCTAATATGGTCATACATTTGGCAGGAGGTTAGGAAGTGCAGCTCAGTTTCCACCTCATTTTGTGGGCAGTGTGCACATAGCCTGTCTTCTCTTGAGAGCCAGGTCTGCCTACGGCGGCCTTTCTCAATAGCAAGGCTATGCTCACTGAGTCTGTACATAGTCAAAGCTTTCCTTAAGTTTGGGTCAGTCACAGTGGTCAGGTATTCTGCCACTGTGTACTCTCTGTTTAGGGCCAAATAGCATTCTAGTTTGCTCTGTTTATTTGTTTGTTCTTTCCAATGTGTCAAGTAATTCTCTTTTTGTTTTCTCATGATTTGGTTGGGTCTAATTGTGTTGTTGTTGATGTTGTTGTTGTCCTGGGGCTGTGTGGGGTCTGTTTGTGTTTGTGAACAGAGCCCCAGGACAAGCTTACTTAGGGGACTCTTCTCCAAGTTCATCTCTCTGTAGGTGATGGCTTTGTTATGGAAGGTTTGGGAATCGCTTCCTTTTAAGTGGTTATAGAATTTAACGGCTCTTTTCTGGATTTTGATAATTAGCGGGTATTGGCCTAATTCTGCTCTGCATGCATTATTTGGTGTTTTACGTTGTACACGGAGGATGTTTTTGCAGAATTCTGCATGCAGAGTCTCAATTTGGTGTTTGTCCCATTTTGTGAATTCTTGGTTGGTGAGCGGACCCCAGACCTCAGAACCATAAAGGGCAATGGGTTCTATAACTGATTCAAGTATTTTTAGCCAGATCCTAATTGGTATGTCAAATTTTATGTTCCTTTTGATGGCATAGAAGGCCCTTCTTGCCTTGTCTCTCAGATCGTTCACAGCTTTGTGGAAGTTACCTGTGGCGCTGATGTTTAGGCCGAGGTATGTATAGTTTTTTGTGTGCTCTAGGGCAACGGTGTCTAGATGGAATTTGTATTTGTGGTCCTGGCAACTGGACCTTTTTTGGAACACCATTATTTTTGTCTTACTGAGATTTACTGTCAGGGCCCAGGTCTGACAGAATCTGTGCAGAAGATCTAGGTGCTGCTGTAGGCCCTCCTTGGTTGGTGACAGAAGCACCAGATCATCAGCAAACAGAAGACATTTGACTTCAGATTCTAGTAGGGTGAGGCCGGGTGCTGCAGACTGTTCTAGTGCCCTCGCCAATTCATTGATATATATGTTGAAGAGGGTGGGGCTTAAACTGCATCCCTGTCTCACCCCACGGCCCTGTGGAAAGAAATGTGTGTGTTTTTTGCCAATTTTAACCGCACACTTGTTGTTTGTGTACATGGATTTTATAATGTCGTATGTTTTTCCCCCAACCCCACTTTCCATCAATTTGTATAGCAGACCCTCATGCCAAATTGAGTCAAAAGCTTTTTTGAAATCAACAAAGCATGAGAAGACTTTGCCTTTGTTTTGGTTTGTTTGTTTGTCAATTAGGGTGTGCAGGGTGAATACGTGGTCTGTCGTACGGTAATTTGGTAAAAAGCCAATTTGACATTTGCTCAGTACATTGTTTTCACTGAGGAAATGAACTAGTCTGCTGTTAATGATAATGCAGAGGATTTTCCCAAGGTTGCTGTTGACGCATATCCCACGGTAGTTATTGGGGTCAAATTTGTCTCCACTTTTGTGGATTGGGGTGATCAGTCCTTGGTTCCAAATATTGGGGAAGATGCCAGAGCTAAGGATGATGTTAAAGAGTTTAAGTATAGCTAATTGAAATTTGTGGTCTGTATATTTTATCATTTCATTGAGGATACCATCAACACCACAGGACTTTTTGGGTTGGAGGGTTTGTATTTTGTCCTGTAGTTCATTCAATGTAATTGGAGAATCCAGTGGGTTCTGGTAGTCTTTAATAGTTGATTCTAAGATTTGCATTTGATCATGTATATTTTTTTGCTGTTTGTTCTCTGTTATAGGGCCAAAAAGGTTGGAGAAGTGGTTTACCCATACATCTCCGTTTTGGATAGATAGCTCTTCGTGTTGTTGTTTGTTTAGTGTTTTCCAATTTTCCCAGAAGTGGTTAGAGTCTATGGATTCTTCAATTACATTGAGCTGATTTCTGACATGCTGTTCCTTCTTTTTCCGTAGTGTATTTCTGTATTGTTTTAGTGATTCACCATAGTGAAGGCGTAGGCTCAGGTTTTCTGGGTCTCTATGTTTTTGGTTGGATAGGTTTCTCAATTTCTTTCTTAGGTTTTTGCATTCTTCATCAAACCATTTATCACTGTTATTACTTTTCTTTGGTTTTCTGTTAGAGATTTTTAGATTTGATAGGGAAGCTGAGAGGTCAAATATACTGTTTAGGTTTTCTACTGCCAAGTTTACACCTTCACTATTACAGTGGAACGTTTTGTCCAGGAAGTTGTCTAGAATGGATTGAATTTGTTGTTTCCTAATTGTTTTTTGGTAGGTTTCAACACTACTTTCCTTCCATCTATAGCATTTCTTAATATTATTCAGTTCCTTTGGCTTTGATGCCTCATGATTGAGTATTGCTCTGTTCAAGTAGACTGTGATTTTGCTGTAGTCTGATAGGGGTGTCAGTGGGCTGACTGTGAACGCTCTGAGAGACTCTGGGTTGAGGTCAGTGATAAAGTAGTCTACAGTACTACTGCCAAGAGATGAGCTATAGGTGTACCTACCATAGGAGTCCCCTCGAAGCCTACCATTGACTATGTACATACCCAGTGTGCGACAGAGCTGCAGGAGTCGTGACCCGTTTTTGTTGGTTATGTTGTCGTAGTTGTGCCTAGGGGGGCATATGGGGGAGGGAATGCTGTCACCTCCAGGTAGGTGTTTGACCCCCTGTGTGCTGAGGGTGTCAGGTTCTTGTCTAGTTCTGGCATTTAGGTCGCCACAGACTAGTACATGTCCCTGGGTCTGGAAATGATTGATTTCCCCCTCCAGGGGAATGCTGGGAGTGTTTGGTGCGTGCTGGGAATTGTTTGAGTGAGTGCTAAGTGCGAGTGTTGTGTAGAGTTAGATATCCTGGGTTTTCCTTTTCTTGGTGATATCCTTTTTTCTTCTATGCATAATTAAGGTTATTATTTCATTTTTTTTGTTGTGGTAGAATTAAGTATATTGTTTTTCGTGTTGAAATTACCCTGATTTTGGTGGGGATGGCGGCCCGAATCGGGACGCCGTCCCTGTCACTTCGGCACAGCTTTAGGTGTGTTACTGAAGCTACTGTCACGGTGGAAGAGGTTCTGGTCACCGTAGGAGAGAAGGTAGGATATGAGAATGTTGCTTATGCGTCACGGATGAATAAAGCGGTGGTGGTATTTCTTAAAGAAGAGCGCCTTGTTGATCGTATGGTTGAGCATGGCATACTTCTTAAAGGAATGTTTATTCAAGTTACGCCGCTTTTTTCTCCGTCAACAAGGGTAACGATTTCAAATGTACCGCCGTTCATTCTAAATGAGCTATTGGAGCGCGAGTTATTGCGCTTTGGGAAGTTTGCAAGTTCAATTAAGGTTGTCCCATTGGGTTGCAAACACCCGGCGTTGAAACAGGTTATGTCGTTTCGGCGACAGGTGTTTATGTTTTTGGACTCACCGGAGCAGACTTTGGAGTTATCGTTTAAAGTCAAGTATGACAATAGACTGTATATGGCTTATGCTAGTACGGGTAGTCAACGGTGTTTTGAGTGTGGGGATGTTGGTCATAAGCGACATGCTTGCCCGAAAAGGGAGAAGGCAGAGGGAGGGGCGCAGGTGGTCCTCATAACGCCTGGGCCCACTGATGTAGGAAGAGGTGGGCTGACAGTGGTAGAGCAGCCACACGCATCTGTTGCTGAGGAACAAGTTGTCCGTGTTGAGGGCACAGAGGTGCAACTTGTACCAGAGGGAAATGTTATGCAGCAGAAAAAAATTGTTGTAGAAGGTAAGGATGGATCTGAAGGGCCATTTCCTCAGACTGGTGAGGAGGTGCCCAGTACGAGTGCTGTGGTACAGGAGGGGGTACATGTGGAGCTAATCTCCCAGGTAGTGGAGGAGATGCCCACTACAAGTAATGGGTTACAGGAGAGGGTTCATGTGGAGCTCATCTCCCAGGTAGTGGAGGAGATGCCCACTATGAGTGCTGGGGTACAGGGGGGGCTAGTCTCCCAGGTAGTGGAGGAGATGCCCACTATGAGTGCTGGGGTACAGGGGGGGCTAGTCTCCCAGGTAGTGGAGGAGATGCCCACTACGAGTAATGGGGTTCAGGTGGGGCTAGTCTCCCAGGTAGTGGAGGAGATGCCCACTACGAGTAATGGGGTTCAGGTGGGGCTAGTCTCCCAGGTAGTGGAGGAGATGCCCACTACGAGTAATGGGGTTCAGGTGGGGCTAGTCTCCCAGGTAGTGGAGGAGATGCCTGGTACGAGTGATGGGGTGCAAGTGGGGAGTGTTGAAAGGGATGTGGTAGAGGGGAGTCAGTGGTCTGTGGCCTCAGTTGAGGAGGATCAGGAGAAGGATATGGATATCTCTCTTGATACGATATCAGCTGGTGAGGACTCAATTTACGATCTAGAGGAGGTAAATGGGTTTCTGGATCAGACTTTTGGGAAATCCGTCAAATTGGCAGATTATTTTGATGTTGATAAGTTTGTGAGGTCAGCTGTGATGTTACAGAAGACGGTGGGGTTAGACCAGTTGAGTGAGAAGAAGCGGTTTCGCTTGAGGAAATTTGTTACTGCTGTTGCAGCAGCAAAAGGTGGTGGGAAACGTGGTCAGGTTAAGAGAAAATTTAAATAATGATGATGATTATGCCTCATAGGGTGTTCTATTCTCTTTGTCTGGTTTCTCTGTGGTATCTTCTGCTTTTCCTTTTTCTTTTCTATATGGAGGTACTAAGGGTAGGTTCTCTCAATATTAATGGAGTAAGGGACAGGAATAAGAGGGCTTGGGTATTAGAAGTAATAAAACAGAAAAGGCTTAATGTAGTTTTCCTACAGGAGACACATAGTGATGAGGAACATGAGGCTGACTGGGGTATGTGGTGGGAGGGGCAGCATATACTCAGTCATGGTACTAATTTCAGTGCTGGGGTGGCAATCTTGTTTTCTTCAGGCTTAGGGGTGACTGTGGTATCTACAACAGAGATTGTCAAGGGTCGGGTTTTATTGGTCAAGGTGGATGTTATGGGGTTTTTGTTTGTTTTTTTGAATGTTTATGCTCCTAATGAGGGTACAGAGCGTATTGTTGGTTTTGATAAAATAAAGGAAACCTTAAGACAGTGTGACCAAGAGGGTTGTATGGTTTTAGGGGGGGACTGGAACTGTACAGTGGATTTTACTGTTGATCGCACCGCTGAAGAACCTCACCTGCGGTCAGCAATTTGTCTGTCTGGTCTATTAACTGAGTTTGAGCTTTCTGATGTGTGGAGAGTAAGGAATGCAAAAGTTAGGCAGTACACATGGCTAAAAGTTAATGAAGGTCATGTCAGTGCAGCAAGGTTAGACAGGTTGTATGTATCTGAGCAATACTGTAGTAGGGTTGGAAGGTGTGACATTACTCCTGTGGGTTTCTCTGATCACCATATTGTCACTGTTGATATTCACTTGTCCTGTCCACGAAGGTCATCATCTTATTGGTATTTTAAGGTTAAATTGTTACATGATGTCATGTTTTGTGAAAGGTTTTTGTTGTTTTGGGAAAAATGGAGGGTTACAAAAGGGAATTTTGAGTCCTTGAGACAATGGTGGGAGGTTGGGAAGGCCCAAATACGATTATTTTGTCAACAGTATACTGCTCTGTCTCGAATTGAAGTTAAAGAGACTATCAGGGCCCTTGAACAGAACATTAAATCTATTGAATTGAAGTTGCTCACTCAGAATGACCCCGGACTAGTCATGAACTTACAGGACAAGAAACATGAATTGAGGTCGTTTCTGCATGAAAGAGTGAAGGGTGCCTTGATTAGGTCTCGTTTCGCTTCCCTCAAGGATATGGATGCTCCTAGTGCTTTTTTTTTTAACCTAGGACAGTCGACATTGCAACGTAAACAGATGGTCTGCCTTCGTCTCCCTGATGGGAAGGTGACCACGGATGACAGTGAAATGCGTCAACATGCCGTGGATTTCTATTCTGCCCTCTATAAGGCGGAGGATTGTGACTCTCTGTGTACTGAACAGTTGTTACACAACGGTCTTCCTCAATTGGGACCTGAGCAAAGAGTCGCATTGGACTCTGACATTACACTGCAAGAGCTGTCCACAGCAGTTATGCAGCTCTCAACAGGCCGAGCCCCTGGCATTGATGGTTTACCATCTGAGTTTTATAAGCACTTTTGGGGGTCTATTGGGGAGGATTTTTATGAAGTGGTGTGTGAATCTTTTCATGAGGGCTCTCTTCCTGTATCTTGTCAACGTGCGGTACTTTCACTGTTGCCAAAAAAGGGGGATTTGGCTCTCATAAAAAATTGGAGACCTGTTGCTTTGCTGTGTGCAGAATATAAAATTGTTTCTAAATGTCTCTCAAACAGGTTGAAAGAGTATCTGGGATTGTTGGTCCACAAGGACCAGTCCTACTGTGTACCTGATCGCTCTATTGTTGACAACTTGTTTCTAATAAGAGATGTTTTGGACATTTGTTAACTGTCTGATGTAAATGTGGGTTTACTTTCTTTGGATCAGGAGAAGGCTTTTGATCGTGTGGACCACCAGTACTTGTTTAAAACAATGAAAGCCTTTGGGTTTGGGGATGTTTTTTTGTCTTGGATGAATTTACTGTATGCTGGGGCCTCGTGTATGGTGAAGGTGGGGGGTGGTTTGAGTTGTCCCATCCCTGTCCAAAGGGGCATCAGGCAGGGATGCCCAATTTCAGGGCAGTTATACAGTCTGGCGATTGAACCAATGCTTAGTTTTTTAAGAGCGAAGCTTACTGGTTTCTCTGTGCCAGGTGTAATGAAGGGTCCCACGATAGCACTGTCTGCGTATGCAGATGACGTGACAGTTTTTATTACAGGGGGTGAGGATGTTAAGGTTCTCTCAGACGCCTTAAAGGTGTATGAGGGGGCCTCCTCAGCTAGAGTCAATTGGGGAAAGAGTGAAGCGCTGTGGGCAGGCCAGCTTCAGATGGGGTCCGCTCCATGGTTACCAGGGGGGCTTCAGTGGGGCAGAGATGGGATGAAGACTTTGGGGTTTTTTCTAGGCTCCGATGTCTTTCAGAAAAAGAACTGGGAGGGTGTAGTGGAGAAAGTGTGTGCCAGACTGTCAAGATGGAAATGGGTGCTGCCCCAGCTGTCTTATAGGGGAAGGGTACTGGTAGCTAATAACCTAGCTGCCTCTACCCTGTGGCACAGACTAATGATTTTACAGCCACCAAAGGGTCTGATACAAGAGCTTCAGAGGACCCTTGTCAACTTCTTCTGGTCTGGACAACATTGGATTAAAGCTTCAGCCCTGTACCTGCCACTGCACGAGGGTGGGCAAGGCCTGGTGGACATTTCTTCCAGGATCATGGCTTTCCGGCTTCAAGCAGCCCAGAGACTGTTGTACAGTGACGGTTCTAGCTGGGTTGACACAGCCTACGCATTGATGAGGAGAGCGGGCTGTTTGGGCTTAGACAAGCACCTTTTCCTCTTAAAGCTGGAGGGGGGTGAGTTGCCTGGCCTGACTCCATTTTATGAGTCTGTTATGCAGGCTTGGAGAGTTCTGGTCAAGTCCCGTAAGGCCTGCACGCCACCAGGGATGTGGCTTTTTGAAGAGCCTCTTTTTCACAACACTGCCATCCAGTCCCGTGTTCTGGGTTCAGCTAGCCTACGTTCATGCCTGTTAGGCGTGGGGTGTACTAAGCTGGGTCATCTGATGTGGAACAGGAATAGGTTGTTGGAGGAGCTGGGAGAAAGAGCGGGGATCCGATCGTCTCGCCTACTGAGGAAGGTCGTCGCTGAGGTCTGTGATTCCTTGCCAGTACTTCATCTGCAGTATGTGACTGACACTTCCAATTCTGATCGGTGGAAGGAGGGTCTGGATTATGTGTTCCCTGCACTGATTGTTAGTGCTGCGGCGGGGGCATTCGAGGAGGACGTGGGGATGCTGCTTTCCTTCGATACCCCGGAGCTGGGGGAGTTCAAGGAGGTGGGAAAGAAGGCCATGTACAGAATATGTGTAAAGGTGTCCCATGCCTCTTCCCTGGAAGGGGTAAAATCGACGAGGTGGGCGGGTGTGCTTGGTCCAGGTGCCTCCCCAAAAGGCTGTTGGCGAACATTATACAAACTGCCTATTGATAAGAGGACAGCTGACCTCCAATGGAGGATAATACATGGAGCCATAGCCACCAACATGTATCTGGTACACCTGGATCCTACTGTTGGGGAGGGGTGTCCATTCTGTGCTCAGTCTGAAACTCTGGCACATCTGTTTTTACAGTGTCCCAGGTTGGTCGGGATGATTGACCTGATCACTAATTGGTTCTCAGCTCTGGGAGAGGTTTTCTCTTCCCAACTGTATATATTTGGGCCAAAGTACAGGTTTAGTCAGAAAGGTGTAGTTGTGTTGCTTAATTTTGTGTTAGGGGCAGCAAAATTAGCCATATGGAAGACCCGAAAGAACAGTATTCGGGGACAGGGGTCTGTGGATGTGGTGGGAATGCTGGAGGGAATGTTGGCAGCAAGACTAAGGGTTGAGTTTGCCTATTATAAACTTGTCAACAATATTGATCTGTTTATGAGTATATGGGGTATTCAGAGGCTGTTGTGTTCAGTTACTGTGGAGGAGGAATTGGAGTTGTGTTTTTAATTGATGTGTAAATACGGTTTTGTATGAGTATTTGTGTGGTGGGCTCCCAGACCCAATAAAGATTATTTCAAACATTCTCTCTCTCTCTCTCTCTCTCTCTCTCTCTCTCCTCTCTCTCTCTCTCTCTCTCTCTCTCTTTCCCTCCTCTCCCAGGTGGGGAATATGAGTAGTGTGTTGGATCGCGTGAACGGTGTGGCAAGGTGCCCCTACGACCCTCGCCATAACTCCACGGCGGTGGTGACGGAGAGCGGCGAGCTATACGCCGCCACGGTCATCGACTTCTCTGGTCGCGACCCCGTCATCTACCGGAGCCTGGGGGGCATGCCACCCCTCAGGACGGCCCAGTACAACTCCAAGTGGCTCAATGGTAACGCATACACACACACACCACACACTGCCCACCATGTGTTAGCTAATTTCTCATTGTGTAGCGTCAATTAAAGTGGATTTTTGCATAGGGGCTAAGATCTTTTTCAGAGATGCAGTGCTTCCAGATTGTTAATTGTCTTGATGCAGTCTATCAACCATGTTTCTCAGGGGGAACTACAGTGAGGGAAAAAAGTATTTAATCCCCTGCTGATTTTGTACTTTTGCCCACTGACAAAGAAATGATCAGTCTATAATTTTAATGGCAGGTTTATTTGAACAGTGAGAGACAGAATAACAACAAAAAAATCCAGAAAAACGCATGTCAAAAATGTTATACATTGATTTGCCTTTTAATGAGGGAAATAAGTATTTGACCCCCTCTCAATCAGAAAGATTTCTGGCTCCCAGGTGTCTTTTATACAGGTAACGAGCTGAGATTAGGAGCACACTCTTAAAGGGAGTGCTCCTAATCTCAGCTTGTTACCTGTATAAAAGACACCTGTCCACAGAAGCAATCAATCAATCAGATTCCAAACTCTCCACCATGGCCAAGACCAAAGAGCTCTCCAAGGATGTCAGGGACAAGATTGTAGACCTACACAAGGCTGGAATGGGCTACAAGACCATCGCCAAGCAGCTTGGTGAGAAGGTGACAACAGTTGGTGCGATTATTCGCAAATGGAAGAAACACAAAATAACTGTCAATCTCCCTCGGCCTGGGGCTCCATGCAAGATCTCACCTCTTGGAGTTGCAATGATCATGACAACGGTGAGGAATCAGCCCAGAACTATACGGGAGGATCTTGTCAATGATCTCAAGGCAGCTGGGACCATAGTCACCAAGAAAACAATTGGTAACACACTACGCCGTGAAGGACTGAAATCCTGCAGCGCCCGCAAGGTCGCCCTGTTCAAGAAAGCACATATACAGGCCCGTCTGAAGTTTGCCAATGAACATCTGAATGATTCAGAGGAGAACTGGGTGAAAGTGTTGTGGTCAGATGAGACCAAAATCGAGCTCTTTGGCATCAACTCAACTCGCTGTGTTTGGAGGAGGAGGAATGCTACCTATGACCCCAAGAACACCATCCCCACCATCAAACATGGAGGTGGAAACATTATGCTTTGGGGGTGTTTTTCTGCTAAGGGGACAGGACAACTTCACCGCATCAAAGGGACGATGGACAGGGCCATGTACCGTCAAATCTTGAGTGAGAACCTCCTTCCCTCAGCCAGGGCATTGAAAATCGGTCGTGGATGGGTATTCCAGCATGACAATGACCCAAAACAGACTGCCAAGGCAACAAAGAAGTGGCTCAAGAAGAGGCACATTAAGGTCCTGGAGTGGCCTAGCCAGTCTCCAGACATTAATCCCATAGAAAATCTGTGGAAGGAGCTGAAGGTTCGAGTTGCCAAACGTCAGCCTCGAAACCTTAATGACTTGGAGAAGATCTGCAAAGAGGAGTGGGACAAAATCCCTCCTGAGATGTGTGCATACCTGGTGGCCAACTACAAGAAACGTCTGACCTCTGTGATTGCCAATAAGGGTTTTGCCACCAAGTACTAAGTCATGTTTTGCAGAGGGGTCAAATACTTATTTCCCTCATTAAAATGCAAATCAATTTATAACATTTTTGACATACGTTTTTCTGCATTTTGTTGTTGTTATTCTGTCTCTCACTGTTCAAATAAACCTACCATTAAAATTATAGACTGATCATGTCTTTGTCAGTGGGCAAACGTACAAAATCAGCAGGGGATCAAATACTTTTTTCCCTCACTGTATATCCTACCCTTTCTTAATATCCTAGTACAAAAACCATGGTAATTTGACACCCCAAAAAGCGATTTGAGTAATCCACCACAGTGTTGTTGTTGCATAGGGATCACATAGGTAGGAAGGGTGTGGACAGTACGGCTGGCACCGTAGAAAAGCTAAGTTAGATAAACCTCCATCAGCCCCAAAAGTCATAGCTAGGTGTCTATAATCTCCAAAATACATCCTGACTCAGGCAGAAAAAAGACAAACCTTCCAGAGACGTTTCTTCTCATCTGCAGTAATTCAAACGCAGCAGCCACACAGTTCTTGGCTTCACAGAGTAGGAGGAGAAAGGGGGAGGAAGGGGAAGAAATGGGGAGAGAGTAAGGGTGAGTAGGTAGAGATAGACATCACACTGGTAGACCAGGAGAGAGGAAGGGTGAGTAGATAGAGGTAGACATCACACTGGTAGACCAGGAGAGAGGAAGGGTGAGTAGGTAGAGATAGACATCACACTGGTAGACCAGGAAAGAGGAAGGGTGAGTAGGTAGAGGTAGACATCACACTGGTAGACCAGGAGAGAGGAAGGGTGAGTAGATAGAGGTAGACATCACACTGGTAGACCAGGAGAGAGGAAGGGTGAGCAGGTAGAGGTAGACATCACACTGGTAGACCAGGAGAGAGGAAGGGTGAGTAGGTAGAGATAGACATCACACTGGTAGACCAGGAGAGAGGAAGGGTGAGTAGGTAGAGGTAGACATCACACTGGTAGACCAGGAGAGAGGAAGGGTGAGTAGGTAGAGGTAGACATCACACTGGTAGACCAGGAGAGAGGAAGGGTGAGTAGATAGAGGTAGACATCACACTGGTAGACCAGGAGAGAGGAAGGGTGAGTAGGTAGAGATAGACATCACACTGGTAGACCAGGAGAGAGGAAGGGTGAGTAGGTAGAGGTAGACATCACACTGGTAGACCAGGAGAGAGGAAGGGTGAGTAGATAGAGGTAGACATCACACTGGTAGACCAGGAGAGAGGAAGGGTGAGCAGGTAGAGGTAGACGCCACACTGGTAGACCAGGAGAGAGGAAGGGTGAGTAGGTAGAGGTAGAAATCACACTGGTAGACCAGGAGAGAGGAAGGGTGAGTAGATAGAGGTAGACATCACACTGGTAGACCAGGAGAGAGGAAGGGTGAGTAGGTAGAGGTAGACGCCACACTGGTAGACCAGGAGAGAGGAAGGGTGAGTAGGTAGAGGTAGACGCCACACTGGTAGACCAGGAGAGAGGAAGGGTGAGTAGGTAGAGGTAGACGCCACACTGGTAGACCAGGAGAGAGGAAGGGTGAGTAGGTAGAGGTAGACGCCACACTGGTAGACCAGGAGAGAGGAAGGGTGAGTAGGTAGAGATAGACATCACACTGGTAGACCAGGAGAGAGGAAGGTTGAGTAGATAGAGGTAGACGCCACACTGGTAGACCAGGAGAGAGGAAGGGTGAGTAGGTAGAGGTAGACATCACACTGGTAGACCAGGAGAGAGGAAGGGTGAGTAGATAGAGGTAGACATCACACTGGTAGACCAGGAGAGAGGAAGGGTGAGTAGGTAGAGGTAGAAGCCACACTGGTAGACCAGGAGAGAGGCGAGGAGAGGAGAGACACTCAGGAGTCAATGAATGGTGTAAGAAGGGGAAGAAAGGGGGCGAAAGGGAGGAGAGGAAAGGTGAGGCTTCATTAGTGGGCCAGGCAGAGGGGAGAAAGAGCAATAGAGGAAAAGGGGGTAGGAGGCTAGAGAAGAGGAGTCAGACTCAGTAGGAGGAGACAGAAGAAGAAATGGGGTGAGAGGTAAGGTTGGAGGTAGAGGTATACAGGCCAAGCACAGGAGAGGTGATAGACTCAGAGACTCAGAAGGCAGTGAGCAGTGTAATTATTCCTTGCGTCAGGGAGAGGGTGAAATTACAATGTGCTGCATGCTTCATGCCACACAGTGCTCTCTTCTGACAGTGTGTGTGTGTCTGAGGTGTGTGTGTGTGGGGGGGTTGGGGGCTTTACCGGAGCCTCTCTAGCAAGCGAGGGAAAAAACGAGGGAGGGATGAAGGGAGGAGTGGAGAGGCGAAGAGAGTGCTCTGCTCATCAGCGTAATCACAGCTAGTTGCAGACATACAGGCAGATAGACACCCCACCACACACTTTAGTTACACACCATCTTTTCTTTCCATTCCCTCAGCCGCCCCTAAAAATACACACATCCTCTTGAGGCAAAGCCCAATTTTCTGTACAGGCTCTTCCTCCAGAGTCTAGAGCTGGATCAAGCAGCCTCAGAGGAGACGGAGTGAGAATTAAAATCTCATCTCATTTCTAGTCATAAGCCTCCCAGTTAGGGGGATTCACAGACAAACAGACAAACCAGAACAGAGGGGGTTCTGAATCCAATCAATCTGTTCTTTATTGGATTGGGACATGCCAGGTGCTGACCAACTGTTTTATTATAAATGAGAAGGAAGTGGGGAGCCTGGGGAGTATTGAGGATGTAGAAGTCCCTAAAGAACACAGGCAATACTCTCTCTCTCTCTCTCTCTCTCTCACTCTCTCTCTCTCTCTCTCTCTCTCTCCTCTCTCTCTCTCTCTCTCTCTCTCTCTCTCTCTCCTCTCTCTCTCTCTCCTCTCTCTCTCTCTCTCTCTCTCCTCTCAATTCAATTCAAAGGTTTTTATTGGCATGAGAAACATATGTTTACGTTGCCAAAGCAAATAGAATAGACAATAAACAAAAGGGAAATATAGAAAGGAAAACAGACATTTTAAAAGAATATAGACATTTCAAATGTTATATTATTGGCTATGTACAGTGTTTTAACAATGTGCAAGTAGTTGAAGTATGAAAGGGAAAATAAATAAATAGGTTGTATTTACAATTCTTTGATATATTGAAGAGGGTGGGGCTGAATCTGCATCCCTGTCTCACCCCACGGCCCTGAGGAAAAAAATCTGTGTTTATTGCCAATTTTATCTGCACACTTGTTGTTTGTGTACATTGATTTTATAATGTCATATGCTTTCCCCCCATCACCGCTTTCCATCAATTTCTATAACAGACCCTCATGCCGAATTGAGTCAAAAGCTTTTTTGAAATCAACAAAGCGTGAGAAGACTTTGCTTATGTTTTGTTTTGTTTGTTTGTCAATAAGGGTTTGCAGGGTGTATATGTGGTATTTCGTACGGTATTTTGGTAAGAAGCCAATTTTACATTTGCTCAGGACATTGTTTTCACTGAGGAAATGTTGGAGTCTGCTGTTGATGATACTGCAGAGGATTTTTCTGAGATTGCTGCTGACGCATATTCCACGGTAATTATTGGGTTCAAATTTGTCTCCACTTTTGTGGATTGGGGTGATCAGGCCTTGGTTCCAAATATTAGGGAAGATACCAGAGCTGATGTAAAGAGTTTAAGAATAGCCCATTTGAATTTGTGGTCTGTATATTTTATCCTTTCGTTTGTATACCATCAACACCACATGTCTTTTAGCATTGGAGGGTTTGTATTTTATCCTGTAGCTTATCTCTCTCTCACTCTCTCTCTCTCGCTCTTTCTCTCTCGCTTGCTCTCTCTCTCTCTCTAGCTCTCTTGTACTCTCTCTCTCTCTCTCCTCCTGTTCACCATGGTCAGTCATGTGGCTGTGTGTGAGTTACACCCCTCAATCAGACTGTGTGAAGATTGAACAATCTGTTTGTTGGATTGACACCTACACACATCACGCATCCTAAACATGCATATTATACTGTATCCACTGTATATTAGCTCATTCAAATGCCCCCTCTGACAGCAACCGGGCCATATGTGTGTGTGGTTTGTATGTGTGTGTGTGTGGTCTATGTGTGTTTGTGTGTGTGTGTGTGTGTCTGACAGTCATGGGGAAGCAGTAGTGTTAATAAACGCTGATGCCTGTTTCCAGCTTCTCTCTCTGTGGTAATTATCTAGGACCCAGCAGGAGGTCTGGTGAAGCAGTACCACATACACACACACACATACATACACACACACACACACACACACACACACACACACACACACACACACACACACACACACACACACACACACACACACACACCTTCATTTACATGGCTGTATGCATAAGTTAGCTAACTGAACTGGAAAACTCAGTCCTCCATTAAACAGTGCCATTCAGAGCCAGGTTAGGGAGGTAATGGTAGATTTGTCATGATAGCTTATCAGAAATGGATTACATGATTTTACATTACATGTGATTATTCACGGCAAAGCTATGGGTCTTTCCTCTTCATGCTGGCATGTTAACAGTAAGTTTAGCCTAGAGACAATGATTGAACTGTGCGATAAAGATATGGAGAAAGCAAACTATAGGATAAGATTAATGTGACAGTGGATGAAGCTACAGCTGACAAGAGAATGTTGGTTAACACTTTATTTTGATAGTCCATCTATAGATGCTCCACTAACTATCAATCGACTATCATTAACATGTCACTGCATGTCTGTGGACTTGCAGCAGGGAAGCATCTGTAGATATCACCAAATATTGTGCTATTTGGTAAACTAGTCCATCTCTTCAACCATTTCACCCATTCCTATTTGCTGCCGCCAGCAACTACCCATAGTTGTTTTTTTTATGAGTGTTCTGAAATGGAATTATGAGTTCTGTTATTGCTTCTGATGCTGTTTCCATTCCTGCTGACCGCCTGCGTTCTCCTATAATCTCATTCTCTTAAAAGGTAGTGCTGGCCCCCGGGGCACTTACCGTCATGGCTGTTTGCAGGTTAATATCTCCACTCTCCGCTCTGCATCCACGCTGTCCGTCTGTGTGTGTGTGTGTGAGTGTGTGTGTGTGTTTGATATCACTGAGAATGAATGTTACCTTAGGGAAAGCAGCACTGACAGCCATGCTGTGTTGTTCTCACAGCCTCACTGCTTCTCTAGTCATGAGCAATGCTCCTCTACATTATAACGCTACAGGGGAGGAGGCATGCTACTGGTTATCACACCTGGGTTCAAATAGTATTTAACATATTTCAAAACTGTCATTGAGCGTTTGTTTGAGCCTGAATATAATGCCAGATGGGCGGAGTTTGTACTTTGGGAATTATTCCATTGGTTCCGTTTTGTCCAGGCATGCTCAATCATTTTTTAAATATTTGAAATGCTGTTTGAACCCAGCTATGTCTGCTGTTAATGTGTTCAGTGTTGGGACTGAGGCTAACACGTGTCTGTGATAATAACAACTCACAACAGGGAGACTGTTTGGGTGGCCGTACCATGTAGTATTTCTGAGCACCAAGTCAAAGTAGAATGAATGATGAATTCATGGTCTCTATTGATGTTGTTCCGCTCATTGAGTGCATTAGTCTCATGTCTTTACCGTATCAAGATTGATCATGTGTCCTGGCAATTTACAAATGGAGGAATGAATGCAGTGTACATTTTATAGGATGACTGTGACTAATGAATGTATCTCACAGCATTACTTTATTATCAACATGACTGGACACATTCATTCATCAGTATAAACTAGCATGACATTAACAATCATCCCCTTCGGCTGCATGGACTCTAATGCTCTCTCTGACTTCGTCTCCTCTTCCCCTCTCTCCTTCCTCTTCTTCTTCTTCTTCTTCTCTTCTCCTCCCCTTGTCCCCTGTCCTCTCCTCTCTTCCTCTCCTCTCCTCCTCTTCTCTTCCTCAGAGCCCCATTTCATCTCAGCCTACGATGTGGGTCTCTTCACGTTCTTCTTCCTGCGTGAGAACGCTGTGGAACACGACTGTGGGAAGACCGTCTACTCCCGGGTGGCCCGCGTCTGTAAGAACGACATCGGAGGGCGGTTCCTACTGGAGGACACCTGGACCACCTTCATGAAGGCCAGGCTGAACTGCTCGCGCTCCGGAGAGATCCCCTTCTACTATAATGAGCTGCAGAGCACCTTCTATCTGCCTGAACAAGACCTAATCTACGGAATATTCACCACCAACGTGTGAGTGATGAGTGATAGTCTTCTTATGCAAGACACACACACACACTCAGGAAAACACAGACACACACACTAATGTACAGGTGCAGTACACACGCACGCACCCTCACCCTCTCCCACCCACCCCCACGCAAACTTGATTACTGCAATTTCCAGGCCTAATGATTATCATCATTCAGCATCCACTTCTTGAGAAACACTTAGCCTGAGTTGAGCGAGTGATGCAGAGTAAGGCAGAGAGCCTTTTTTATTACACATTCTACCTGCACTAATGAGAAGCCTGATGGTTAGAGGAAGGAATCTGTGTTGCTTCCCAAATGGTACCCTATTCCCTACATAGTTCACTACTTTTCCTTTTCCTATAGTGCACTACCCTATGGGCCCTGATCAAAAGTAGTACACTACGTAGGGAATAGGGTGCTATTCGGGACACATCCTGTGTGTTGCTGTACTGTGTGAGCTGTGCCCTGACTCATAAGCGTGGGTTACACAGACCATTGTTTAAGGAATGCAGTATCATCCACTTCACTAGAGGGAGAAATGAGTGTGAGCAGAACAGAAGACTCATCCACAATGTGGATATTGCCCTTTTGTGGAAAATAAAGAACATGAATGATGTCCATAGGTGAAGAGGAAGCGAGAGAGATTTGCCCTTTTCTGAAAAAAATAAATTCTCACTGTGATGCTTTCACAGACTGAGGTTTTGGAATGTGAAGTTGAGTCAGTGTGGTACAGTACAGTTGTTGGTATTCAGATGTGTTCCATGCTCTGCTCTGCTGTGCTCTGCTCTCTCTCAGGGGAGAGGAATTCTCCCCCTCGCCTTCTGCTGCTCTCACCTGTAAAGTTCTGACTCCCAGGAGGTAGTAGGCTCCTCTCCATCACTACCAGAGCTGAGGCTATCATTACTTCTCAGTACAGGACATATGTGCGTGGACGTGCGTGTGCGCATGTGTGTGTGTGTGTGTGTATCCCTCCCTCTTTCCCATTCCAATCTTTTGTATCGGTCCCTCTCTCGCTCTCCCAATCCCCAGTTCTGAATAGTGTGATATCGTAATGCAATCACAGGAAGCACTGTCTCCATCTGTCTGTGTTAAATTGAACATTGTCAAAGAACTCCCAGGAGTTTGAACTGAGAGAGAGAGAGAGAGAGAGAGAGAGAGAGAGAGAGAGAGAGAGAGAGAGAGATAGAGGAGAGAGAAGAGAGATATCCTAGCTCTCTCTCTCATCTCTCTCTCTCTTCTCTCTCTCAGCTCTTCTCTAGCATATCGCTTCGTGCTCCTGCGCGCATCTCTCTCTCTCTCTCGAGGTCGCTCCTCCTTCCCTCACTCAGAGACAGAGACAGAGACAGAGAGAGCTTATTGGCATCTCCCTCCCTCCGTCCTTCCCTCTGTCAGGGCTGCTGAGTGGGGCTTCACAGCATCTGTGTGTTCTCACATTGAAATGGGACTGTCACTGGCTAATGTTGATAATCCCGAGGTGATTTCATTGCAATGGCTTTCTCCATTGTGTTCTGAATGAGCAGCTGGATGCTGCTGCAGGTGTGTATCATAGAATAAGCTGATTGGCTCACACAGTGATCTGATTTGACATGTCTCCTCGGTACCTGGTAACCATGGTGTCCTGGTATGGTGTAATGTGTGTGTGCAGCCATCTGAAGGGTAATCCATATTTTTGCCGGATTTTGCCATATTTTTTTCTAAATTAACTTTTTCCATCACCTCAACATAATAACATCAAATGCACCTTGAAATGAGCTTTATGCCCCCTGGAGCATGTTGGGTAAGAATCAAATAGATATACTATTACTATGATTATTCGCTTTACTTTTACAAATTATTCTTTCAGCAAAACATACTACTTCCAGGCACCTTTTTTTTAGCATGTGCACAAGACAGTAATCTTTTGTACTGTATTGTAACATTGCTGCTGCTGTTTTATAGCTACCTGACTAAGTCTCCACTCCTGAAAGTGATTGTTTCAGACTATAGCATTGAAGCTCAGATACTGCATTGTTATGCAGTAAAAATATATATGGATAATCCTAGCCTTCCTTCATTTTTTGCTCCCTCCCTCCCTCCCTCCCTGCCTGCCTGCCTGCCTGCATGTTGTACGGGACAGGGGATGCTGAGTGTGCTTTTTGTTTCTGTTGCGATGCAGGTATTCACTGCATTTTTACCTTAACTGCATCCCAAATTCAATAGGGCTCTGGTCAAAAGTAGTTCACTATATGGGGAATAGGGTACCATATGGAACACACACTTTGTCCTTTTTCTGTGTTATTTTTCAACTGAGGGGAGGTGCACAGACTGCATTAGCTCCATATACCCTGCTGAGACTGTAGCCTGCCAACGATAGGCAGAGCACATCTGTTACTGTGTGTTTGTGTGTGTTTGCGTGTGTGTGTGTTTGTGTGTGTGTGCACTTGTGTGTATTTGTGTGTGTTTGTAGAAAGTATTTTGGGATGCAGGTGTCTCTATGCCACACATACAGTGTATATACACTACCAGTCAAAAGTTTGGACACACCTACTCATTCAAGGGTTTTTCTTTATATTTACTATTTTCTACATTGTAGAATAATAGTGAAGACATCAAAACTATGAAATAACACATATGGAATCATGTAGTTAGATTCGTCAAATAGCCCTTACACAGCCTGGAGGTGTGTTTTGGGTCATTATCCTGTTTAAAAACAGACGATAGTCCCACTAAGCGCAAACCAGATGGGATGGCGTATCGCTGTAGAATGCTGTGGTAGCCATGTTGGTTAAGTGTGCCTTGAATTCTAAATAAATCACCGACAGTGTCACCAGCAAAGCACAACCACACTATCACACCTCCTCCTCCATGCTTCATGGTGGGAACCACACATGAGGAGATAATCCGTTCACCTACTCTGCGTCTCACAAAGACACAGCGGTTGGAACCAAAAATCTCAAATTTGGACCGGTCTAATGTCCATTGCTCATGTTTCTTATTGGTGTCCTTTAGTAGTGGGTTCTTTGCAGAAATTCGACCATGAAGCCTTGATTCACGCAGTCTCCTCTGAACAGTTGATGTTGAGAAGTGTCTGTTACTTGAACTCTGTGAAGCATTTATTTGGGCTGAAATCAACTCCAATTAACTTCTCCTCTGCAGCAGAGGTACCTCTGGGTCTTCCTTTCCTGTGGCGGTCCTCATGAGAGCCAATTTCATCATAGCGCTTGATGGTTTTTGTGACTGCACTTGAAGAAACTTTCAAAGTTCTTGAAATTGTCCAGATTGACTGACCTTCATGTCTTAAAGTTTCACTTTGCTTATTTGAGCTGTTCTTGCCATAATATGGACTTGGTCTTTTACCAAATAGGGCTATCTTCTGTATACCACCCCTACCTTGTCACCACACAACTGATTGGCTCAAACACATTAAGAAGGAAAGGAATTCCACAAATTAACTTTTAATTGAAATGCATTCCAGGTGAGTACCTCATGAAGCTGGTTGAGAGAATGCCAAGATTGTGCAAAGCTGTCATCAAGGCAAAGGGTGGCTACTTTGAAGAATCTCAAATATAAAACACTTTTTGGGGTTACTACATGATTCCATGTGTGGTATTTCATAGTTTTGATTTCTTCACTATTATTCTACAGTGTAGAACATACTGTATTTAAAATGAAGAAAAACCCTTGAATGAGTAGGTGTGTCCAAACCTTTGACGGGTACTGTATATACAGTGGGGAAAAAAGGTATTTTGTCAGCCACCAATTGTGCAAGTTCTCCCACTTAAAAAGATGAGAGAGGCCTGTAATTTTCATCATAGGTACACGTCAACTATGACAGACAAAATGAGAATTTATTTTCCAGAAAATCACATTGTAGGATTTTTAATGAATTTATTTGCAAATTATGGTGGAAAATAAGTATTTGGTCAATAACAAAAGTTTCTCAATACTTGTTATATACCCTTTGTTGGCAATGACACAGGTCAAACGTTTTCTGTAAGTCTTCACAAGGTTTTCACACACTGTTGCTGGTATTTTGGCCCATTCCTCCATGCAGATCTCCTCTAGAGCAGTGATGTTTTGGGGCTGTCGCTGGGCAACACGGACTTTCAACTCCTTCCAAAGATTTTCTATGGGGTTGAGATCTGGAGACTGGCTAGGCCACTCCAGGACCTTGAAATGCTTCTTACGAAGCCACTTCTTCGTTGCCCGGGCGGTGTGTTTGGGATCATTGTCATGCTGAAAGACCCAGCCACGTTTCATCTTCAATGCCCTTGCTGATGGAAGGAGGTTTTCACTCAAAATCTCACGATACATGGCCCCATTCATTCTTTCCTTTACACGGATCAGTCGTCCTGGTCCCTTTGCAGAAAAACAGCCCCAAAGCATGATGTTTCCACCCCCATGCTTCACAGTAGGTATGGTGTTCTTTGGATGCAACTCAGGATTCTTTGTCCTCCAAACACGACGAGTTGAGTTTTTACCAAAAAGTTCTATTTTGGTTTCATCTGACCATGTGACATTCTCCCAATCCTCTTCTGGATCATCCAAATGCACTCTAGCAAACTTCAGACAGGCCTGGACATGTACTGGCTTAAGTAGGGGGACACGTCTGGCTCTGCAGGATTTGAGTCCCTGGCGGCGTAGTGTGTTACTGATGGTAGGCTTTGTTACTTTGGTCCCAGCTCTCTGCAGGTCATTCACTAGGTCCCCCCGGGTGGTTCTGGGATTTTTGCTCACCGTTCTTGTGATCATTTTGACCCTACGGGGTGAGATCTTGCGTGGAGCCCCAGATCGAGGGAGATTATCAGTGGTCTTGTATGTCTTCCATTTCCTAATAATTGCTCCCACAGTTGATTTCTTCAAACCAAGCTGCTTACCTATTGCAGATTCAGTCTTCCCAGCCTGGTGCAGGTCTACAATTTTGTTTCTGGTGTCCTTTGACAGCTCTTTGGTCTTGGCCATAGTGGAGTTTGGAGTGTGACTGTTTGAGGTTGTGGACAGGTGTCTTTTATACTGATAACAAGTTCAAACAGGTGCCATTAATACAGGTAACGAGTGGAGGACAGAGGAGCCTCTTAAAGAAGAAGCTACAGGTCTGTGAGAGCCAGAAATCTTGCTTGTTTGTAGGTGACCAAATACTTATTTTCCACCATAATTTGCAAATAAATTCATTAAAAATCCTACAATGTGATTTTCTGGAAAAAAAAATCTCAATTTGTCTGTCATAGTTGACGTGTACCTATGATGAAAATTACAGGCCTCTCTCATCTTTTTAAGTGGGAGAACTTGCACAATTGGTGGCTGACTAAATACTTTTTTTCCCCACTGTATATTAAGTGCCTTTGAATGGGGAATTTAAGTTTTTAAGTATCACGAATGGTCCACCACCCAAAGCATTGGAGTCAACATCGGCCAGCATCTCAATATTGGTGTAACTCAATATTAGGAAGGTGTTCCTAATGTTTGGTATACTCAGTGTTTGGTACAGTGGCTTGCGAAAGTATTCACCCCCCTTGGCATTTTTCCTATTTTGTTGCCTTACAACTTGGAATTAAAATGGATTTTTGGGGGGTTTGTATCATTTGATTTACACAACATGCCTACCACTTTGAAGATCCTAAATATTTTTTATTGTGAAACAAACAAGAAATAAGAAAAGAAAACAGAAAACTTGAGCTTGCTTGGTGGTGCCTCTTGCTTAGTGGTGTTGCAGACTCTGGGGCCTTTCAGAACAGGTGTATATCTACTGAGATCATGTGACAGATCATGTGACAATTAGATTGCACACAGGTGGACTTTATTTAACTGACTTTATTTAACTAATTATGTGACTTCTGAAGGTAATTGGTTGCACCAGATCTTATTTTGTGTATGTCCATTACATGAAATCCAAATAAAAATCAATTTAAATGACAGGTTGTAATGCAACAAAATAGGAAAAATGGCAAGGAGGATGAATACTTTTGCAAGTGCCTTCGGAAAGTATTCAGCCCCCTTGACTTTTTCCACATTCTGTTAGGTTTCAGCCTTATTCTAAAATTGATTAAATCGTTTTTTCCCCTCATCAATCTACACACAATACCCCATAATGACAAAGCAAAAACATGTTTGTAGAAATTTTTGCAAATGTATTACAAATATAACACTGAAATATCAAATTTACATAAGTATTCAGACCCTTTACTCAGTACTTTGTTGAAGCACCTTTGGCAGCGGTTACAGCCTCAAGTCTTCTTGGGTATGACGCTACAAGCTTGGCACACCTGTATTTGGGGATTTTCTCCCATTTTCACAGAAGGGATGGTGCCAGGTTTCCTCCAGACGTGACGCATAGCATTCAGGCCCAAGAGTTCAATCTTGATATCATCAGAACAGAGAATCTTGTTTCTCATGGTCTGAGAATCTTTAGGTGCCTTTTGGCAAACACTGTGCCTTTTACTGAGGAGTGGCTTCCATCTGTCCACTCTACCATAAAGGCCTAATTGGTGGAGTGCTGCAGAGATGGCTGTCCTTCTGGAAGGTTCCTCCATCTCCACAGAGGAACTCTAGAGCTCTGTCAGAGTGACCATTGGGTTCTTGGTCACCTTCCTGACCAATGCTGCATAATCATGTCTTGGAGCTCTACGGACAATTCCTTCGACCTCATGGCTTGGTTTTTGCACTGTCAACTGTGGGACTTTATATAGACAGGTGTGTGCCTTTCCAAATCATGTCCAATCAATTGAATTTACCACAGGTGGACTCCAATCAAGTTGTAGAACATCTCAAGGATGATCAATGGAAACAGAATGCACCTGAGCTCAATTCCGAGTCTCATAGTAAAGGGTCTGAATACTTATGCAAATAAGGTATTTCTGTTTTTTATGTTTAATAAATGTGCTAACATTTCTAAAAACCTGTTTTCGCTTTGTGATTATGGGGTATTGTATGTAGATTGATGAGGAAATTGTTTTATTTAATACATTTTAGAATAAGGCTGTAACGTAACAAAATGTGGAAAAAGTCAAGGGGTCTGAATACTTTCCGAAGGCACTATGGGCCATCTGGTGTGATGATGAGTACCATCCATGCTAGTCTGCTCTCTATGATTCATCATCATAGAAGCCTTCACCACTGAGCTCCACTGAGCATTTGCGGAAGCAGGCCATGGCTGTGTCCTAAATGGTACCCTATTACCTATATAGTGTAACACGTTTGACTAGACCGTATGGGCCTTGATCAAAAATAGTGCACTGTACAGGGAATAGGATGCCATTTGGGACGAAACAGTGTCACTGAGCTGTACTGAGCATGTACAGAAAAAGCACGTACTCCAGTGGGTGTTGTTGAAGTCACCAGCTCTGGTTGGGCTCTTTTGCCTTTTTCTCCCATAACACTTTGCAGCCATAAGGGAACGGTACAGTGACACAACAGAAACTGCAGTGTCATCCTGTCCGACTGGTTGGCTGGTGTGGTCATGGACATCAGCCTTTTACTCCCATAACACTGGCCATAGGGGAACACCAGCCAGCCATAGAGGAACAGTACAATGACACCACAGAAAGGCCCATGTCATCTGTACCGACTGGCCGGCTGGCTTATTTAAGAACATGAAGGGCACAGTGGATTATATCTCCTCTGTATTCCTAGGCTTCATCCCAAATGGCTCCCTATCCCCTTTTTAGTTCACTACTTTTGACCAAGGCCCAAGTCAAAAGCTCTACTCTGCTCTCTACTCGGCTGCTGATAGCCCTTTAGAGTGAGAGGAGCAGAAGAGGGGCTCATCCTCCCTAAGCACTGCTTTCTGCCACTCTTTTTTTTCAATGTTCTCATCCCTCTCTTTCTCCCCTATGTTTATTAGAATTTGGTTTATTATCTATTTCATTTGCTTTGGCAATGTAAACATATGTTTCCCATGCCAATGAAGCCCTTTGAATTGAATTGAGAGAGATTTCACTCAGTAGCCCTGTCAGTCTTATGGGATATGGAGACCCATTAATATGGATGAAGAAATTAGCCCCTCTCACAGAGAGAGATAGTCTGGAGGAATTGTGAATGGACTGTGTGGGAAAGAAAGGAAGGGGAGGTTTTAAAATAGCCTAAATCTTTATGAACGGTTTAGACGTTAACAGTAACAATGGCTTCATTTGTAACTGTAACCACAGCCGTGGTCACAACATAACACTGCAGACTGCAGGCCCTGGGACACCACAGTGTCAGGGAGGTAGGGAGAGGGTGTGTTTAGCTCTGTGGCTGCAGCCTGGTTAGTGGTTGTTGCAGCTAATTGTCTGTGGTTTCCTAAGTTTGAGTTAGGTTGCTGGCTGCTCACCGCAGGAAGCACACTCACTCACTGACGCAGTCTCACACTCTCTGCAGAAACATTGAGCAGAGAGAGGGCAAACAAGCTACACACACACACACACACACACACACTCACACTCACACACACACTCACTCTGCAGAAACAGGGCTATTCAATAGCTGCTGTTCAATGTGCTGCAGGCTGTTTCCCATCTCCTTTGTTTGTATTGAGCTCATTTTGAAGCATCGCCCACCCTCAGGGTTCCTCTGACAGTGTTAATGTATTTCTACAGAGCTCAATCGGATCTCCACGATGGTTGCTAGATACAAACCTCTAAAGTGTATGGACAATACGCGTATATAAGGCATGTATGACATATAGTGTTCATACTGTACACTGCAAGAACATAACATAGCAGGACCATAACAGAAATAGAAACGTATAAAAGAAGAACATAACAAATGTCAAACCATACAGTGATTCCATAGGGCCCTATTGTGCCGTGCTCCTCACCATCCCCGTGCTACAGTATACCAGCCCATTTATGAGTGTGCTGGTGTTCCAAACAAAAGAAAGCATGGAGTTTATTGTACAGTAATGTCTGTTCAGTGCAGAGCAGTGTGTGTGTGTGTGTGTGTGTGCTTGGGGGGGAGTGTATCTGTGTGTTTTTGTGTGTGTATCCTAATTCACTTTAGCAGTCTCATGACGATTGTGAAGCACAGACACAGCTTCCAGCAGAAACCGACATGGACTGTGTCTTTAATGCACCTGTAAAAGATGGGACTGTTAGACAGTGTGGTGCACATAATGGATAAATTTGAGCTCTCAGTTAGAGAGAGTATGGGCATCACTTTGTTCACAATTTTTTTGTTTTATATTTCACCCCCCTTTTCTCCGAAACATGACCCGCCAAACCGCGCTTCTTAACACCTGCCCACTTAACCCGGAAGCACCGTTCAACTATTGATTGAAGTCAGCCTGCAGGTGCCCGGCCCACCACAAGGAGTCGCTAGAGCGCCATGAGCCAAGTAAAGCCCCCCCCCGGCCAAACCCTCCCCTAACCCGGACGACGCTGGGACAATTGTACGCCGCCCTATGGGACTCCTGGTCACGGCCGGTTCTGACACAGCCTGGGATTGAACCCGGGTCTGTAGTGACGCCTCAAGCACTGCGATGCAGTACCTTAGACCGCTGCGCCATTCGGGAGGCCCATTCACTAGGTTTTTAACACTGTCTCTCTCTCTGTCCCTCTTCTTTCCTCTCCTCCCCTCTCTTATTCTCTCTTTCCCATCTCTCTCTCTCTCTTTCTCTCCCCCCCTCTCCTCTCCCTCTCTTTCTCTGTCCTACAGGAATAGTATAGCAGCGTCTGCAGTGTGTGCGTTTAACCTCAGCGCCATCACTCAGGCCTTCAACGGGCCCTTCCGTTCCCAGGAGAACCCCCGCTCTAACTGGCTGCCCACCCCCAACCCCATCCCCAACTTCCAGGTACTGCCCACCCCCAACCCCACCCCCAACTTCCAGGTACTGCTCACCCTAACCCCACCCCCAACTTTCAGATACTGCCCATCCCCAACTTCCAAGTACTGCCCACCCCCAATCCCACCCCCAACTTTCAGGTACTGCCCACCCCCAACCCCATCCCCAACTTCCAGGTAATGTCCACCCCCAACTTTCAGGTACTGCCCAACCCCTTCCCCAACTTCTAGGTACTGCCCACCCCCAACCCCTTCCCCAACTTCCAGGTACTGCCCACCCCAACCCCTTCCCCAACTTCCAGGTACTGCCCACCCCCAACCCCACCCTCATCTTTCAGGTACTGCCGAACCCCTTTCCCAACTTCCAGGTACTGCCCACCCTCAACTCCATCACCAACTTCCAGGTTAGTGCTAGTCTGGAGCAAAATCCTGCTCACCCTGTGTGTCCCCAGAACCAGGACTAAAGGACTCTGCATCTAGGAGGCATTGCATATAAGAACCAGGGATTATGCAACCCAAAGCCAGAGCATTTGTTACTGTAGTTCGGCAAACAACAATCATTGTAGTATTGTAGGTGTGAATAAGCGTGATTACTGAAGGATAAAATGACAATGAAATGTGTGGTTATTTTTATTTTTCTCCTCTCTCCTCTCTCCCCTCTCTTCCTCTCCTGTCCTCTCTCACTCTCTCTCTCTTACTTTTTTTTCTCTCTCTCTCTCTCTCTCTCTTCCTCTCTCATCTCCCTCTCATCTCTCTCTCTCTCTCTCTCTCTCTCTCCGCTCTCTCTCTCTCTGCTTCTCTCTCTCTCTCTCTCTCTCTCTCTCCGCTCTCACTCTTCACTCTCTCTCCACCTCACGTCCTCTCTCTCTCTCCTCGTCTCGTCTCTCCTCTCTACTCTGCCTCTCTCTCCTCTCTCCCTTCCCCTTCCCCTTCCCAACCCGCAACCCCCTCCCCTCCTCAGTGTGGTACCATAGATGATGACGGCGGTCCTAACGATGGTCTGACGGAGCGCAGTCTCCAGGATGCCCAGCGGCTGTACCTGATGAATGACGTGGTGCAGCCCGTCTCTGTGGACCCCTTGGTCATGCAGGATGACGTGCGCTTCTCAAGGCTGGTGGTGGACATCGTACAGGGTCATGACACACTCTACCATGTCATGTACATCGGCACAGGTCAGTGGAGTTCAAAGGTCAAAGGTCAGGGCTCAAGGTCAATAGGTTAGACCCAAACAATACATCGATCAACCAATTAATTAATCAATCAAATGTACTTATAAAGAAAAGGGCACATTAGCTAGGTAAATCTCCCTGGAAGGAAGAAACCTAGAGAGGAACCCGACACCCTTCACTAGCTGTCCAGCCAAAGGACGTTCTATTGACATATTATAGAGCCCTGAGTTTTTCCTAGACACATGACCTGACTAGGAAAACCTCTTGGCTCTAGGCTGTATACAGTACAAACCAATAACTTCTCATCATCATCTTCTTCCTCATCCTCTCTCCTCCAATCAGAGTACGGCACCATCCTGAAGGCCCTGGCGACCACCAATAAGAGCCTTCAAGGGTGTTACCTGGAGGAGATCCAGCTCCTCCCCGCTGGGGTGTGGGAGCCAATCCTGAGCCTGCAGATCCTTCAAAGTGATAGGTCACTGTTCGTAGGACTCAACAACAGAGTTCTGAAGATCCCTCTGGAGAGATGCTCCAACTACAAGACTGAGATGTGAGTTTCTTAAATTTTTCTGTTTTGTACAAGTACAAAAAAAGCCAACCTGGCCAACAAACCTAACCTTATGGAAGAGTACAGGTTAGCAAAAGCTGCAACTACAAGACTGAGACGTGAGTTTCTCAGACGGGGAGATTTATTCCACATTCTGCATGTCACCCCAGGGTTGTGGTCAGTGGTGTAGTGGATGGTAAACGCAAGTCAACGCAGTTTACCCACCTTTTGCGGAAAAGGGCATTGAAAGTATAGGAAGCGTTACTTTTTTCACCGCTACCGGCAATCAGAGTTTGCCCACCTATTTTTTGACCACTACATCACCATAGAAATGTACCGAGTGTTGTTTATTGCTTACTAATAGTCACTTGCCATGAGTATAAAGTGCTGGAATTATACCAGCCTGAGTAACTGACTGTGTAGTCCTACATAATATATTCATTATTCAATGATACACTCTATCAAAACAGTAACACATTTAATTTTTTGCGGTGTTGCTTTTAATTAACGAAGCAGTGCTTCTAAAAAGAGTGAGAACAGAGAAAGGAAGGAAGCCTTACTTTAGCTTTTACTGTCTCTCTGATTCAGGCTCATTTAGGGGGAGATGTGTGGCTCAGACTCTGCCCTACCTGACTCCTGCCAGTTCAATATGAGTCTCTGAGTGTGAGCTCTGCTCGATGCACTGGCTGTCATCTCCAGAATAAGCTGCCTGACGGCTGCCTCTGTTATTCATCTAAACCTCCCTCTCTCCCTCTCTCCCTGCTCTCTGTTTGTCAGGCCTTATGCATTTCATCAATGCTTTCAATCAACTCTCTAGAGCTGCATCCATGCTTTGTCAGCTCGCTGTGCAATATACGCGTGTGGGTGTGCATGAAGGGCAACCTACTGTATAGGAGATTGTTGTGTGTGTGTGTGTGTGTGTGTGTGTGTGTGTGTGTGTGTGTGTGTGTGTGTGTGAGGGGGGGTGTTGGTGGGTGGGTGGGGGGGTTCATGCATATGATGAATCAGCTCGCTCCTTTCTCCATCACGTCACCAGCGGTAACACACAGACGCACACACACACACACACACACCTCTCCGTCGGGTACAGTGGTGAATACTGAACAAGGTGTGGGTGAGGAGATGTGAGAGCAGAGCAGAGCAGAGCGGAAGCCTCGGTAGCCAGGCCTATTTAAAACACAGTGGGGTGGAATAATCACACTCGGCTTCAAGGGCACACCAGGGGAACACTGTCCTTAATCCTGCCTGCTGCCTTATAGCTGCCAGCCTCAGTAGCAGACACAGTTCATAGTCAGTACACAGCCTCAGTGGCACAGACAGTCAGTTGTCAGGGGACACAGAGAGAGAAAACCATGCAGGACTGCAAATATACATGACAGGTGACGGGCTGTCAATCACTGTGATTTATTGTGATATCTAAGGTCGGCTCAGAACATGGAGGAAAGTGTGAAGGGCCTATTATTCTTTAGTTTAGGTTTTCAGGAAATCTTATTCAAATAAATGTTCATGCAGAATGCATACATTTCACAGTCGTAGATACAGACACAAACAGGATTTACACAGAGATTGACATGGTTCTATTTTCTGCATATTGTTTGTCATTGCACTCCCAGGCTATTCTGTCTCAGCCCTCTGCCTCTGTGTTATTAAATCAGTCTGCAGGATACAGTCCCAGGACAACAACACTCTACCGGAAGCCTATACAGAGGTTATGTCTTTCTGACTTGGATTATCCAAAGAAGACCTCTCCCTTTCTCTGTCCCCCTCTTTTTCTGTAGACGTGGCGGATGTCAGTGGGTCTTATGAAGGACACCCACCTGGTGGGGTCACAAAACACTAGTCCCATTAATCCTGCTGTCGGTCAATGGCCTAGCCTGATCTGTGGGTGGCCCTCCCAGTCCCATTCACACATACAGCCTTTCATAATGAAGCCTCATAATAACTAGTAGAACTACAGCAATACATCAATTCATATTGGCCTGTTCAGCCCCCTCTGAGTGACACAATGGAGGTTTCTATGGAGCAGTCTTGTGTAGAGGTAGAAAAGCTACAGAGGCCATGGCATGGTTTATTTTTAAGTCTAAAGTTATCCGTTTTGTTCCAGAGACAACCCCTCGCTCTGGAAAAGGATAATCTGTTACCACATGAATGGCAGTACTGTACTAGTGTTCAGCCAGAGAGGTAAATGACTGGTTCTGTCTTGTCTTTGCCCCCTATATTAGCATGAATGGACAGGCTGTTGATGGAAATACAGCACTGGGAAAACTCATTATGTTTAAGTGCAGTTATTATTAGTTTTTTTTTATCTCTATTGTCTTTCCTTCCTTACAGCAGGAATCAAACGTTTGCCACCAAAACCTGCCAGGTCAGTTTGCCATGGAAACAGCTGTGCAACATACACTGTGTGTACAAAACATTAGGAACAATTGCTCTTTCCATGACATAGACTGACCAGGTGAATCCAGGTGAAAGCTATGATCCATTATTGATTGCACCTATTACATCCACTTCAATCAGTGTAGATGAAGGGGAGGAGACAGGTGAAAGAAGGATGTTTAAGCCTTGAGACAATTGAGACATGGATTGTGTATGTGTGCCATTCAGAGGGTGAATGGGCAAGACAAAAGTTGTAAGTGCCTTTGAACGGGTTATGTTAGTAGGTGCCAGGCGCACCGGTATGAGTGTGTCAAGAACTGCAATGCTGCTGGGTTTTTCACGCTTAACAGTTTCACGTGTGTATCAAGAATGGTCCACCACCCAAAGGACATCCAGCCAACTTGACACAACTGTGGAAAGCATTGGAGTTAACATGGGCCAGCATCTCTGTGGAACGCTTTGGACACCTTGTAGAGTCCATGCCCTGACGAATTGAGGCTGTTCTGAAGGCAAAAGGGGGTGCAACTCAAGATTAGGAAGGTCTTCCTAATGTTTTGTACACTCAGTGTAGTTTTAGCTAATGTGTACAGCTTTGTACAGTACAGAGTGCCTGGTGTCTGTTTAGGGATCAAATCAGCTATATTGCTTTGCACAGTGCTGTCTGTTTAGTGGTGACTTACTGCTAAGTGCTGCACCGCCAACAGTGGTATAGTCTGCCCTCTCTTAGTGAAAATTACATCTGACCTCCCCAATGGCCACTACTTACTGCTAACTGCAGCCTCCACTCTCTCTCTCTCTCTCTCTCTCTCTCTCTCTCTCTCTCTCTCTCTCTCTCTCTCTCTCTCTCTCTCTCTCTCTCTCTCTCGCTCGCTCTCTCACTCTCTCACCTCCACTTTCTGTAAAGGAAGTAGTCATATTTATTCTGCTCCGGCTGCAGTGTTGTTTGGATGGTAGTGATACGTTATAGCCAAGCTGCACCACCAAAGTAGCTCTGTCAACACTTTCACTGAGGCAAGGTGATCCAGGTCCATACATACACATCAATGGTAGGATTGGGAGGTGGTGTTAATAATGTTTTGAATGTGTTTAATCTGGATAGAAGCCCTGAGAGACTAACCCCTCACTCCTACTTCCCTGATGATGTTTATGTGGTGAAGGTGAAGACAGAGTAGGAGTGGGAGTTTTGCTTGCTTTGTGATTTACAGTGCTGCTGTAGCTGCAGGCAGCCAGTCAGGGGAGGTAGCAGACTAGCAGGTCTGTGCTGCAGGAGTTTATAACAACATAATGAAAACACAAAGTGGCTGTCTCGGTGTGTTCACCATGAACATGACCAGCTCATGTTTCCAGAGTAGAAGTTCAATGTTTTTCTGATGCTCTCTATACTAGGGAACTTCTGCTGTTTTTATTGTTTATTAAATTATTTTCACAATCAGACCATTTGTGGATAGTAACCATGTCTACAGCTGTATTCCACGGACCCTCAGGCAAAATAATAGTTATTTTATTTTACAGGTGTGGAACTATTCAATTCTCTAGTTTATCGTAATGCCCCTGGGCCTTTTTTAATCTGAAAAACCCTTGTCATCGGCATTGAGTCCTGAGGTTGGGCCCTGTGGACAATAATAACCTCTTTATATACAGTATTCTGGCCTTAACATCTCCATAGGGTCCCAGGAGCCCTGAATAAAGCCAGTGTTTTATTGTCTGTGTGAGAATAGCTTTAATTCCACCCACTGGTCCTCTTCAGCCAATTTATGGTCTGTTGATGCTGCCGCCAGCCTGTCAACAGGGTTCTAAAACACAGTGCCGTTAAGCCTGTATGAACACTCCACTCCCAGGAACACACCAGGAGCCATGGACAGAGAGGGAGAAAAGAGAGAGAGAATGGGGGGGAGGGGGGATTGAGAGAGATGGACAGGGAGGGAGGGAGGAAGGAGGGATTAAGAGGGAGAGGGGGGGTTGAGAGAGAGTTAGGGGGAGAGGGGGGAAAGTAATCACAAAGTGTAAGTATTTATCACTGGTGCAGAATGTTTTTGCTTTTAACGGGCTCTCCTCTCTGGCAAACCCCCAATATTAAAACCATTTATATTTCTCTCTCTCTCCCTCTCTCTCGTTCTCTCTCTCCCTCTCTATCCCTCTCTCTCTTTCACACACATTCTTTCCCTCTCTCCCTCTTTCTCCCTCTCTCACTCTTTCTCCTCCTTCCTCCTTCAGCCTTGATTTGGGCAGGCAGTTTGTCTTAACCTGCCTTCCACCCTCCCAGCTCCCCAGATGCTGACAAACCTTCCTCCTTTTTCAGTGAGGGTGTACAAACTGCTCTCCCTTCCCCTTCCCCTCTATTCTCCTCTCCCTCAGTCTCTCTCTCTCTCCCTCACTTTCACTCTCCCTTTTCTCTCTCTTTATACACTGCTCAAAAAAATAAAGGGAACACTTAAACAACACATCCTAGATCTGAATGAATTAAATAATATTATTAAATACTTATTTCTTTACATAGTTGAATGTGCTGACAACAAAATCACAAAAATATTATCAATGGAAATCAAATTTATCAACCCATGGAGGTCTGGATTTGGAGTCACCCTCAAAATTAAAGTGGAAAACTACACTACAGGCTGATCCAACTTTGAT